CCAGCTGAAATTTTTTAAAATATTTTTTTAGTTGTAGATGGACATAATTTTTGTTTATTTATTTTTATGTGGTGCAGAGGATCGAACCAAGGGCCTCACACGTGCTAGGCAGGCGCTCTACCACTGAGCCCCAGCTGAAATTTTTTGGAGTCAAGATATTTAGACCACTTTTTCCCCAGGGGAGTTCCTGGTTTCAGGACACTTTTTATACTTTTCAGGGAACCAGCTCTGAGCATAGAGCAGGATGTGTGAGCAGAGTGGGTCATGAGGGACAGGACCACAGGTTTCCTGCTCATCTCTGTGTCTGTTGTCAGTGACAGCCTTGCATCTCCTCATGTTGGCCCCACCCAGCTGAGTGTGGCTTCCTTTTGCTGCTTTGCTCAGGAAACAAACAAACAAAAAAAAATTGTTCTTCTTTTCTGTGAGTCTAAAACCTTTAACCTGAAGAACCCTCCTCAAATACCACTGCCTTCTGGCTCAAAATCTGTCTTTCTTAAGATTCCTATGGTGCTTTTCTGCAGAATGTCCCAGTATGCCAGTGTTACCTGTATGATTGAGAATGCCTCATGTTCTGATCCTGCCTCTGTCTCCCAACTGTCTGGGTCATTTGAGGCAAATCCAGTTGCTCTCTGGGCCTCAGTGTATTCATATCTGTAAAATGAGGATAGACGATCTGAGGCCTGACATATTGTGGATGCCTCTCCATTTAGAAGGCAAACTCCAAGCAGGGAGGAAGTATAAAAAGAGGAGAAGCTTTGGGATTGAAGAGATCAATGTTTAATTACTGACTTTCTTTCTCCCCAGTGCTATGGACTTGAGCAAATTATTCGATCTTTCTGAACTTGTTTCTCCAACTATGAAGCAAATTAGCTGCTAGTATCTATCCCACAGGAATAATGTGAAATTGAGTAAGATGGAGTACATTAGACTGTGCAGTTTTTGTCAAAATCAGTTTCCCTTTTTAGTCATCAGATGAAGCTTTATATCATTATAACGCATGAAGGAAGCAGAGTTGCCTTTATTTTAAGACCAACAGCTGCTTCAGAGAAAGATTTTCTCACTGCTCATCCCTGAGTGCCAGCATTGTGGGACCACCTTCTGTGGAACTACAGGGAATAGAAATCCTAATGGGTTTAGAGATAATGTGGTAGACTAGTGTAACATTAGAAGGAAATATTTAAATCTTTGTGTATTTTTACCAATAATGGGATAATAATAGGAAGTAGATAAGGTCTCATTTTTTCGTTGCAGATGGACACAATATCTTTTTTTTTTTTTTTTTTTTAAAAGAATTCTTTTTTTTTTTTTTTTTTTTTAAACAGAGCGTGAGAGAGGAGAGAGAGAGAATTTTTAATATTTATTTTTCAGTTCTCGGTGGACACAACATCTTTGTTGGTATGTGGTGCTGAGGATCGAACCCGGGTCGCACGCATACCAGGCGAGTGCGCTACCGCTTGAGCCACATCCCCAGCCCCCACAATATCTTTTTTTATTTTTATGTGATGCTGAGGATCGAACCCAGTGCCTCACATGTGCAAGGCAAGTGCTCTGCCTCTGAGCTAAAGCCCCAGCCCAAGATCTCATTTTTAAGAAGCTTAATTTTACTCTGCCTTTCTTTGCCCTGAAGAGACAAATTCTCTTCCCATTCCAGTAGAGAGTATCCTGGAGAGATCATTATAGGGTTTGTTGACTCATAAGAGCACGAGGGACTTTTAGAAAAATCCAAGTGTGTCTGAGTATGCTAGTAAAGAGAGTGCTATATTTAAAATGTCAGTTTGAATTCACAAGCTGCTTAAAATTATATATGTATGTGTAGTTTTCCTTGCTCTTTTTCTGGTACCAACTAGTGATTTTACAATTCACAAGGAAGAACTAATACTTCAGAATGTTATCCTCCTTGCCAAAAGGACCCAGGGCTCCCTGCAGAGCAGCAGCTAACAGCCACCTAGAAATTATCAGCCTCCTTGGATAATCTCAGTAGCTTTGTTGAGCAGGTCTCTCTCTGACTTACCAGTGCAGTCACTGTGTTCTGCTGTTGAATAGGGCTTGAGAAAAGGCTTGCTTCTTTGGAGAGAGCTCTCCAGCAGAGGAAAGGTTCCCAGCATTCCCAATTTACCTTATTTTTTTCCAGTGTTGGCGATCAAATCCAGGGTTTTACACATACTTGGCAGTCACTCTACCACTGAGCTATCCTCCCATACTCCCAATCTATCTTTATAGATGTAACATCTTTTTTTTTTTTTAGAGAGGAGAGAAAGAGAGAGAATTTTTTCATATTTATTTTTTAGTTTTTCGGCGGACACAACATATTTTTTTGTTTGTTTGTATGTGGTGCTGAGGATTGAACCCAGGCCGCACGCATGCCAGGCGAGCGCACTACCACTTGAGCCACATCCCCAGCCCCAAGATGTAACATCTTAACAATACTGATAAGGTGACCTAGGCTAAAAGTGTTCTTCTGGAAAGCAG